GAACAAATGCACTGGGAGGTATGGATCTGTCCATCTGCACAGATGGAAAAGGCTGTTGGTATCTGCAAATATCTCACATGCAAAGTATCTGACACTAATAGTTTCCCTTTTGAGGGGAACACATTTTACTATGTGAACTTTTTAAACCCAGGAAACAGAACAATCATGGCCTATACAGATTGTTAAAACTCAAATCCTACCTGCACTTTGTCAGTTAACACTTCTCTATTCATAAACTTTGCTAGTTCAAAAGAAAAAAAAAAAGCTACAGAGTTCCTAATGTAAATGACTGTGTTCAAACTCAACATTTACTCATGTCAGTAAATGAGACAGCAGCCAGTAAAAGCAGATAGTTGAGAAAGCCTTGTACACTCTGGTAGCAGGCATGTTGGAGGGGAAAAATGAGGAAGATGCACCCAGGTGTAATGCACTGATTCCAAGGGAGATAGGCTAACTGGAGCCATTCTAACAGATCTGGTTAATAAAAGGTATGCAAATCTGTTCAACTTAACTGATGTAGGTGAAAATTAAAAAAAACAAACAACAAACAACAAAAGCAAAATAACCCAGTGTCTTAGAAAATCCATACTGATGTTTATAGACTGTGCTTTTAAGATGTCACAAACATGGGCATCAAGCTGCATGCTGTGCACACATCTTTAAAGGGGTGTGAGTAGAAACAGCTGCAGCACACAACTCCCAGAGCACTGAAGCAACACTACAGACCCAGTGAGAATTCTGGCTGGTGGGAGTTACTGACCACCTGCTGTTGTGCACAGAACAGCAACGTGTGTTCTGACAGAGGAATTTAACTGGGAACAGAGGGCCTGCAGCGCTAACCTACACGTGATTTTACAAAACATTTTGAGATCTAACACCCATACTACACCTTTTGTAAGAAAATAGAGAGCAGCTATCGGCTGCAGTTCTTCTAAACTACTGTAGGAAGGCTTTGCTAGCATGCCTCCAAACTTGGCAACCATGTGAGGTAATCAACGACGCTGTTAAAATCAGCATCCTTCATTTCTCTCCACCCGCGCCACCCGCTGCCTCCTTATTGAGTCCTCTGATGGACAGGTCATAAACCACTTCCTCAATCTTCTTGACGTCGTATTTCAGGCCGTCGTAACGCTTCCTCAGGGAGTCGTTCTTCAGGTTGAGGAGACGGAAGCCCGAATCCAACTCGTTGATAAAGGTTGAGATGCGCAGCGGGCGAGAATAGTCACCGGCTGTGACGCTGTTCACTGCCAGCCTGGCCTGGGAGAAGAGGCACACATCAGCTGGGAGAACGCCAGAGGAACACACTCCAGCCACTCCCCCTTTCCCATCGGATCCTTTAGCAAACGTAGCAGATCTGTTGACCAGACTCGTGAATCTTCAATCCAGAGCCTCGTTTAACACTTAATGTATCAGTGAGGAACAACCCTGACACACAGACAAGCAGTTGGCTAAAGGTCAGACTCCTTCAAATACAAACCATAATTACACAAACTACTTGGGACGGTTAAAAGAATAATGGCTACTCCTGTGTCAGTTTCAACCCAAATGTTTGCATGGATATCTTCCCTACCAGCTCACTGGCCAGAGTTAAGACACCAGAAAGGTAGTCTTCAATATCCAGGTGGAAGCCCCTCTCCCGATCAGCTTCAACTAAGAAAAAAGCAGAGTGGTGATCAGGTGATGCTGAACATGAGCAGAACCAGCAAGCTGAAATTGCATTTATTTATTGGAGCTAATTTGAAATATCAAATTTACGAAATATTATTACAAAATAAAAAGCATCCTCTTCCTGCATATGATGCAATCACCGCCTCTTCATACCATTTGATTTAGCATCTTTTACATCCTCAACCAGACTTGCAATAGGTCATAATTAATCTAACACAATAACTGAATTTACAGAGAGCAGAGAGGTCTGCAGTTTTTTTGGTGTTTTTTTTTTCCCCCCTCAAATCCTGTGCTCTGTGAGGCAACGGTTCTCTCACAGCATAAAAAAATCTTTTCTTTTTAAGCACCAAACCAAAAGGTGAGAAAAACAAGCAGTCACCCTTGTGTTATTCTTTTGGCAGAGAGGCGGTCTGCATGCACGCTCTTTGCAATGAAGAACTTACTAACACATAACTACTCTTGTTTACATTCAGTTCTCCAATTCCAAGCTACACCACCTGAAAACTTCACAGGTTTTCTCTCTTCTGTTACAACAAACTTACTCCCAAGTATTTCTGCAACAGCTTCTCGGGTCACCAACGTTTCTGTCTCCAGGTAGACTACAAACGCTGCCAGAAACACCAACCGCTGAAGCACAAACCTCCAGTGCTCATGAAATCTGTTGAAGGAAACACCAAATCATGATAAAAAATAAGCAACATCCATTATCGAGGAACGAGCATTTCAAATGTCTGTAGTACAGACTGCTTTCTACCTTTACACATCGCACTCTGCAAGATTATTTGCTCACCAAACTACACTGAGCTTGAAATCCACTCCTGAGTCCCCCAGAACTACCCCTGTGCTGAACATCAGCACTGCTCACAGCTCTCACACAGCTGCTCAGCTCGCTGTTTCTCAGGCTCTCACACCCGCCAGACAGTCACCTCCTTCCCTCCTGTCTCCCAGCAGCATTTCTGAGCTGGCATTCTTGGTCTATGATTTGTTCTTGCTACACACTGTCCCCTTCTGGCGGCAAATAAAACAAAGGCGGTGACTTCATTTACGATCTGTAGAATCAAGCAGCTATTTTGTGGCAGATTTAGAGCTATGTTTTCAGAAATGTCCCTAACAGCTTAACTGAAATTAATGGAGCAGCGGATGCTTTCACAAACAAGGGATGCACCAACAGAACACCAATTTCTTAAGTTTTCCTTTCTAAGATCTCACACTTGTCTACTGCTCATCAGTTCTCAAGCAGAACCACTGGGCCCATAAGCCTTTAAAATCACTCTTCTAAAGTAATGGTGCCAAATACACTCGCCCCATGCTCAGATCCACCTGTAATACTGATCAGCAGGAAACTTAGTCTTCAGAGATTCCATCTGTGTTCTTACTGTACTGAAGTGTTCCCGAGCCTTCTGACATTTCTTTGGTACTGAAAAAGAAACAGTGCAACATTCAGTGCTCCACAAAGAACAGGGTTTTGAAAACAAAGAGCTGTAAATGCACTAATGCTCCTCTGAAGACACTGCTCACTTTTGTCCAAGACAGCTCACCAACATTCAGGCTGCTCTGAGCAGTCATAGCTACAGCACCAGGCACAGGTAGGTCACAAATACCCCAGAGTTTCGGCTCCTTAGCTTTGAATTTGAGACAAGACACTCCAGTGTTACTTAAGGAACACTGTTAATGGTGACTAATTACTTCTGCCATAGAACTTAAGCTGTGGGTGAAGTCTGCATTTTGTAGAGGATACTGATTGAAGGAAACACCAGGTCATGCAATCACAAAGAAGTAATGGGAGATGCAAACAGAGAGGAGGGAAGGGATGAACACAGGATCACTGTGTCATTCGCCTGCAGACTGAACCAAGGAGCGAATAAGGCTGGTGCCCATGTGTGTAACGGGGCTACAAATGTGTAATGATGAGGGACAGATGAGAAGAGATGGGGAAAGGCTAAAAGGGGCATCGAGTGCAAGGTCAGACAGACCCCATCTGAGGTAGAAGAGCTGTACTTTTAAAGGCCTGTACGTGCAGTACTGCAGCCTGACACACTCAGCAGCAGCACTGCCCTGAATGGTTTTATCATCAGTCACTGCGAAAGAGCTGCAGCCCCACAATGAACGAGGTCAGCCTGCAGCTCCATGGAACAGGTTTAGCCAAGAGGTATTTTAAATCCCTGGAGAACAGGGGAAAGCCACTGTGCAGTATAATGTTCTAAGTACCACCAAACAGTACAGAAAATTGCCCTCTATCAAACTTCCAGTTATCACACAGTTCTATGAAGGTAACTCGAGCCACCCCTCGCCTTTCCCTTTGGCATTACAGATTGCCTTGTCTGGTTTAAATCTGCCAAGTGCTTTCATTGGCTCTCTGCTCTCTTCGAGTTCCATCTCTCTACTCCAACTGCTGATAAAGGACTCATTATAACGGATCTTGCAGCAGGGAGCAGCAAGCTGCACTCGTGACGGCACAGGAGAGGGCAGAGCACACAGCACGGCTTCTTTTGGCAGCAGCACCAGCTCAACCGGCACGGAAATACAGCTGTAGTGACCAACCGCCATTACTTTCACTGCCACCTGTCACCTTCGAGCAGTTGCTGGGGTTAAGAAAGCTCAAATTACAGATACTGATACAGAACGCAGGGCTAAACCCCTCGGTGCTACAAAGCCCGGGCTACTCGTCCCCATAACGTCTCCTGCGCTGGCCGGCTTTACTTCCTTCACCACGAACGGCCTCGCACTCACTGTCCTGGAATCCGTTCCCTTGGTGCACCCCCTGCAGCAGCGTCAGCATCTCGCGGGCCGTCTGCTCCAGCGCCTGCACGACCTTCCGGATCTCCTGCGGACACACAGCGCCGCCGCGGCTCAGCGCGCCGCCCGCCGCCCGCCGCCCCCCGGCCCGGCCCCGCGCGCACCTCTCGGATGTCCTGGTCGGCCGTCAGCGCGCCCTGCAGCTCCACGAACATGGCGCTCACTGACATGGCGCCCGCCGCCGGCTCCCGCCTCTGGGGCCTCCGAGCGGCTCCCGTCGCGACAGGCTGCCCCGCGCGGCGCCTGAGCGTCTCCGGGCTGCCCCGCGCGGCGCCTGACGGAGGGAGCCGGGGAGCCCGGACAGGCGAGGAAGAAGCGAAGGCGGGGAGCGGCCGGCGTCACGGCGCGGAGCCGCGAGGGCTCCTCCCCACGCTGCCGCCTTCCGCGCGAAGGCCGCGCTGCGCGGGGACGCGGCCCCGTTGCCGGGAGACGGGGCGCGAGGCGGGGGGGCGAGCAGCGCCCCGTTACTAGGAGACGGCACGGAGCCGCTGGGGAGAAGGCACCACCTGCGCGCAACCGCCGCCGCGAGGGAGGATGACGCGCTTCCGGCTGCGAGCGGGACAGCATGGCGGCGGCGGCGGGAGCTGGGGCGCCGGCGTCCTTTTTGTCCCTGGAGCCGCAGCTGCAGCGCACGGTCCAGAAGAAAGTGCGGCGCGTCCGCAAGAACCGGGTGGCCGAGGTGAGTGGGGCTCCGGGAGGGGCGAGCCGAGCCGCGCCGCTCTGCTCTGCTCTGCTCTGCTCTGTCCCGTCCCGATCCGTTCGGCGCTGACGCGGCCGTTGTGCCCCGCAGGAGGAGCTGACGCCGGGCGTCGTGTACGTGGGGCACCTCCCGCGCGGGCTGGGCGAGCCGCAGCTCCGGCAGTACTTCGAGCAGTTCGGCACCGTGCGGCGGCTGCGGCTCTCCAGGAGCAAGAAGGTACGTAGAGCATGGCGGGCCGCGGCACCGCGTGGGGGAACTCGGCTGCAATTTCCTGAGCGGGCGGAAGGAGGCTCCCCGCTACTCGCCGTGCCTGAGAAATGAGGGCTTGAGTTGAATTCGAGGGTGAGGGCTTAGGGCCGGCGGTATCAGAACCGCCGCTGGGCGGTCACGGTGGCTGTGAAATGGCGCCCCATTTTTCCCCACCTAGATGTAGGGGTGTGAGAAGCGTGAGCAGAGCGCTCTGATTCGCGGTAGAACCTGAAATGTCCCAGGAAGGGCTGTGCTGTCTCACTTGTGGCTTCGTGTTTGTGAATTTACCATCTAGCATTGCTGTATGATAGCAACAGGAAGGTGAGCGTACGTTGCTGAACAGTTTGTTTCACGCACAGGTATATACTTAAGAATTCTGTCTGGCCAGTGTGGGACTGAACCTGGTGCTTTTTTGAGAACTCACTGAGCTGTGTGAAAATGCTTACATGCAGTTGAAAATGTGCATTAACTCTGGGAGCACAAAACATTTTAATTCAGCTCTTCAGGCACCAAAGCAGCGTTTCAGGTCTCTCTGCTGTTGCTTGCAGACAGGAGGGAGCAAAGGCTACGCCTTCATCGAGTTCGAGTGTGACGATGTGGCCAAGATTGTCGCAGACACAATGAACAATTACCTCTTTTCTGAAAGACTGCTCAAGTGTGAGTATGGACCAAAGCGCACGGTCTGTGATGTGCAGAGCAAATCCCTGTACACGCGTGTTATTTCTCAGGGAGCTGTATGAAGAATCTTGTTTCTGTAATAGTTTTCTTTGTCCCCAAGGTATTTTCTTCTGTGTTGATCACATAGCACAGTGTCAGGGAGGGGTGGGGTTGCTGCACAGCCCGCTCCTTTAATGCAGATTTTTTTTTCATTTAACCTGTTGTAGTTAGGCGTTCTTTTGGTTAAAAGGTTAATGAAATTAGCAAGCTTCTCAGGTGTTCTTTCTTAAAGGAATGTGAGCCAGATAGCTGCATCAGTTCTGAAAGTTGGGTCTTTCCGAGTGCTCTTCTGTTCCATTCTTCCACTCCCTGTCTGCTGCACATTCAGTTACTTTCTGCCTTCTGCGTTCCTACAGTGCTGTAACAGCACTTGCTGTGGGTAACGTTACAAAGGGACCCGACTGGCGTTGGTGAGAAGAGCAGCTTTGCTATCAATCACCTGCTGTCGTATGCCTGTGGTACAGGTCAGTTCATGCCTCCTGAAAGGGTGCACGCAAACCTCTTCAAAAACAGCGACCGGATGTTTCAGAAGCCCTCTCAGCCCGCAGTGAAGCGGTACAATAAGGTCCGTTCCCTCGTGGAGAAGGCAAAGATGGCAAAGCGGCTGCTGCGGAAGGAGAACTGCTTGCGGAAGAGGTTGGCCGAAAAGGGGATCAAGTACAGCTTCCCTGGATTTGTAAGTCTGGGGTGGTTTTGATGAGGTTTTGATTCATAGGTCACAGAAGAGCAATAGGGGTTTTTCCTAAGCTCTGGACTGTGTGTAATTTGGGTGATTCCTGTAGCGAAGCTTTTGTAGTTAAAAAGCAAAAAAAACCAAACCTATAGACTGTTAGGTAAGAGTTTCTTCATATGGGAAATTTGTAGTGATTCACCTTATTTGTTTTGCTTCCCAGGCTGCACAGAGCCTTCCTGTGAGGAGGAAGAAAGCTAAAACAACAAAAGCCAAACAGAACGCTTCTTTGAGTAGCCAGGTAAGAGCAAACAGTGCTGGTGCTGCCCAGCACCCCAACCGTCCACCCTGAGACAGATGGTTCAAGTCTGCAACTGGTTTCTTTCTGCTGATTTCAGTGCCTGAAAACGTGGGCATTGTTTTCCTCTGGGAGGTGTGTGTGGCAAAAGAGGGTTGTTAGGGGTGGATGAACACACTGGAATGGAAGACAGCGGTTGAATCCCCTCAGTTCTTTGTCCCCTTGGGGTAATTAGCAGCAAAGGCTTCTGCGTACGCATTATTATGAGCAGTTTGCCATCTCCCTCATGCTCTGCAGGCGTGATTTTCCAATATTTTAGAAGTTGATAACAGCTGAAACTAGCAGGATAAAAGGAAGCGTCAGGTCATCAGCGCTGAGATGTAGAGCACCAACAGTCAAAATCTTTAAAGTATCAGCATTTTTGTTTTGTTTCATTACTGTTTTGTTTTTTTTAAATTATTTAATTTCTTTTTACTTCTCATAATTGGTGTAGGGCTGTGTTTAGAAAGACAGGAAAACTCAGTTGTGAGAAATGACTGAAATGATAGGACTGTAATGTTTCTGCTCTGCTGTGGGCTTGGACGTGGTGTTTTTGTCTGCCATTCGCTAATAACTTCGGTGTGTTTTTTTCCTGACTTTCTCCATCTTAGAATTTTAGTGCTTTGAGTCAGGAGATAAAAAGTTTAGAAAACCAACATTCATAATGGCATACTGGAAAACATTAATTTAGGTTTGCATTTCACATCTGCTCTTCTGGAGATGACACTCCCAGTCTGAAGAAGGACTGCCTGAAGGCAGTTATAAAAACAAAATGGTTTTCTTGGGACGTGGAAGTTGTGAAGGAAGGCTGCACTGAGGTGCCTTGTGGTATTACGAAGGCAGTGACAACTTTCTCTGGCAGATGCTTTGCAGTGAATGATGTCTTTCTGATCTCTTCAGGATCCTACTCCGGTCTGTACGCCTACAGTGCTTGAGCGCCGGAAAGCTCAGCAAGCGGATGATGACACAGATGACAACGAAATAATGATCAAACTGCCCCCTCCGAGTGTTAAGAAAGCTGTGCAGAGACCAAAGAAACAGCCAAGGAAAAAAAACGACCTGAAGAAACAAAAGTAGGCTTAAAATTCTGACAGCCATAGCCGTGTTTTTCCTCTTTCTCAACTCAAAATGATGAGGTGGAGCTTCTGTTGCCCTGTCTCAGTTTTTTCTGACCAGACTGGTTGTCTTTCATGGGCAGGGAAAATATTCACAAATAGTTCCCCTCCTGTTAGCTGTTGGGGAGCTGTATCTTCACTGCCTGTGAAGATTTTCTTGACTTTGCACTCATGAGTGCCTGCAGTCATGCCAGAACCTTGTGTTAATTCTGTAATTTGTCCCTGGCACACACAGATTTGAAAGGCAATGTTAGGTTATCCATGCTGAGCCTGCTGATGGCATCTGTATTTTATACTTATTAATGATGACTTAAAATACAATTTCTAACTGTTCTTAAGTTTCATTGGCTTTTGTAGTGCTTCTGTTTAACTGAAAGTCTGTGCTGTATGTGAATTCTCACATAATTACACAAATAGAAGGGGAGAGGTTTTTTGTTGTTTTTTTTTTTCCTCCTTCAAGAAAGACATTCCTTGCATTTCATCTTGCTGGTGGTCAGTCAGGTTTTCCCAGAGCTGTCTTGGGCAGAAACAGGACACCATGCTGCCCCTGCAAGCCATTGGCTTTCAGTCCTGCTTTCCGCAATGCTGGGAACGTCACCCTTTGCCACAATGTGGAATGGACAAAGGATTTGAAAAGGCTTCAGGAAGGTGAGAAGAGATGGAGCTAGATGTGATTATAATGACATTCTCTCCGTGACTCAAATCACTTTGCTGTTGGGGAGCTGTTGGGGAAGCCACTTGGCTGAGTTTGTCTTTACACCAAACACTCGTCACCTTAGGCACGCAATGGAGTTCCACTGACAGCCTGATGACCACCATCAGCCACTGTTGGCTGTTTTTTGGGGTGGGCACATCTACTTACTGATGTGAAACAGGCTGTGTTTACACCTCAGGCCTCTAGAACATGTAGTTAAGGTTTGGAGTGTGCTTTGAGATTAATTAATGTGACCACCGTGGTTGGCAGAAATGCCAACACGCTTTGAGTGTGTTAGGAACAGATAAGCAGCACTGGAAAAGGTTACTGCAAGACTTCATACAACAGAGCAACAGAAGAGAAATAAAATGTATCTGCCCAGAATGAACAGTTTTCTTTTAAAATGCATATTTTTAACTTTGTGTTGTGGAAGTCGAGATGGCTGCGAGCAGTGTGATGCACTCAGTCTTGTGTGGAGCCAGGTCCCTTGAATGCAGCCTGACACAGGAGGGCAGCACTGCAGTTGTGTGGGACACACTGCTCTGGCAAGCAGCGTTAGTTCTGGGAATTGACCTCCCACATTTACAGAGAAACTGATCTAGGCCAAGCCGTTTGGAGTGACCTGCATTGGTGTGCCTGCTGCACCTCTAAGATGACAGGAGAATAAGAATACAGGAGAAATCTGAGATGAATCTTAAATATTCCTGTTCCTTTGGTGCTGCCACCATTAATACTACTTCTGCCAAGGCTCTTCAGTTAAAGCTGCTCTTAAGACAGTGTAACTTACACAGTATAGTTTCACTTTCATTGAGGTCTTAGTAACTCCTTCCCAGCCTTTTAAGCTTGTGCTGCTTTCTCTCTCTTCTGCTGCTCCTCCTGGTGCCAGGTCTTCTGCCCATGCCTGGGAGCCTCTGTGTGCTTGCTGCTTTTTTCCCTGCTGGACCCTGTGGCTTCTTTTCACGCTGCCTGTCATGCTTGTCTGGTTGCATGAGCTTCCAGAGCATTACTCACATGCTTCTGTGGGTCTCTTGGAAAGGTTTGTGTATCTGAACTAGGACCCTGGTTTCTGCTCTCTTCATATTTGTGTGGCAGTACGAGTCTTGATAGGAAGAAGATAATCCTGAAAACTGTGTTTATAATAAGATCTGCTTCCTGCTAGAATTTTCCTTTCTTGTTGGTTTTTGAGTTGAGATTGACTTAGATGGTGACTCTTAAAATGAAACAAAAATTGTGCCGTTCGAGTAACAGTCACTAAGCAGGGAGCTCTCAGCAGAAGGGTAAGTTTTCTTGGTGACAGTTTCTGTTTTTAGGCTGCCTGAGTTATTAATATACTGCTGTCCTGGGAGATGTGCATAAGCAGAAATTCAGACACCTGATACTTGCCAAACATATTTTCCATAGCAAATGAACAGACGTGCTGTGTCATGAGTTATGCCTCAGTCCATGCACTGATCTTCATTTTTCAGCTCTCCAGTCGTTGGTTCATTCTTGCACAAACATGAATTTTATGTTTATGCCCTGGATTTAGGGCAGGCAGTGCACTGTTCTTACAGTGATGCAAGGTGTGCTGGGGATTTTGTTTTCAAGGCACAGCTTGCAAGCTCTCTGCCTTTCTGTGATGAGAAACTTTCTGGAGTTGGTACCTAGTGCCATTTTCAAGCTTTAGAAATACAGATGCTCTTTAGCAAAGCCTGCTCATTTACACTCATTAAGCTTCCTCTGTTTTGCAGGAAGGGGAATGCAGCTTAGGAGTACGCAGTGTTCCCCAGTACATGAAACGTTGAAAGTAAAAGAGGAAAGAAAGGCAGATTTAGCTGAAAAACAGAGGGAACATAGAAATGATGAAGCCAGTCTGGAGGAAAAGGTGTGTCTGAACCTGGCAGTGTTATACTGCTAGAAATTGAAGAAATGAAATGGAATTGTTTTTATCACCTGTTAGATGTGGGATAGGCTCCCTGGACCTCACAGTGCATGAGCAGTGTGCTAGGAATGGGTGGTCTGGATGGCAGTGCCTGCCTGTAGCCCCAAGCAAGGAGAGCAGGCTGGGCAAGTGACTTGTTCTTGTCAATAACTACCCTGTTTGCTTGCTTGCCTGGCTTTTAAATGTCTGCAGCCCCAAGGAACAAGGTTAAAACCAGTTTGCAAATGGTTCACAGCACAAGGGAAGAATTGCGGCTCTGAGAAGTGGCATCCTGCTCTCCATGCAAAGTACCAGCAAGGGTGGGGGGCTCTGGCATCTTCTCCCTCTCCCAGCTGTCTGTGCTGAGCTGTTTGGTCCACGTTGTGCCTGTGCGATGCAGGAGTCTGGGCAGGGCTGCTTGTGCCGTGTGCTGTGCAAGTCCCTGATCCTGGGCAAGGTATTGCAGGGAGGGTAACAGAAGCGTGTGGGACGCAGTCGCTGTCATATGTGTTCCAGGATCTCCTACAGGTCCTTCTCTCACACCAGATTCCCTCATTGTCCAATAAGCCATTCAAACACATCCCGTTAGGCTGGAAAGTCCGTAATCCGAACCCCACGAAACATCCAACTCCAGGCACTGACAGTCTGCACCATTTTGGCTGAGGATGCGTGGAGACCACTCTAAACTGCTTGGAATGGAGAAGGTGGGAATGTGGTGAGAAGGATCCCGTGCCACGATTCTGCCTGACGTTGCTAACCCAGGCATGTCCCTCCTGCCCGAGGGCAGCAGCTGTCAGAGCCCAGGAAGCGATTCACTGCAGCGGTGAGAACTGCTGAAGTGAGACATTTTCTCCTGTGTGGGGATGGTGAGGCCTCTCGTTGCTTCACACCCAGCATTAATTAAGCACGTGTCAGGGATGGAGCTGCTTAGCTGTCCTGGGAGCCGTGGATTACTTACACAGCTGAGTTCCTGTGGCCAGTAGCTATGTGGATCTCATATGCTGGGAAAGGATATGCTGTGAGGGGGTTCCTGCACAGATCTTGGCTCTAATCAGAGAGGAAAATGCTGGTTTATGGTTTTCTTCAACCCTTGGGCTGCCTTACTGCAAACAGTTCCATTGTGTGCAGGTTCACATTAAAGCTCCAGTGTACTGAATAATGCAGAGGTGAAAATGGGACGTGCAGCCAAAAATAGCTTTGTAAGAGATGGGGAAAAACAAGAACACAGACACTTCTGTCTGTTATTTGAGAGAGGCAACCAATGAAGCAGATAGGGAGCAGGAGCTGTGGAGCACCACCCAGATGTGCAAAGCTGGATGTCAGCACAGCATCTGCTCACTTGAGCCTTGGCAGTATCTCAGAGGCACAGATGAAAAACAAAATGTTTTTCAGTGAGTTGGAAATGCTCTGTTCCTTCCTTTGCATTTTTCTGGTGCTGGCTGAGATGAGGGCTGGGTGAGCAGGTACCGACCTGGGGCTCAGATTGCTCTACAGTTGGACACTGCTGCCTGTTCCCCTGGTTTGTGTGTGGTTCTGTTTCTTTAAAAGGGGAGTGCCTCTGTCATGGTGCTGTTGTCAGTACGCCCTGCAGAAGGCAGAAGCACCAGGGGGAGTGAGCGTGGTCTGTACCAGGACAGCAGCAGCGCAGCTGCTTGTCAGGGCTTGGATTTCTGTTGGGAGAGCTGGAAGAAACCCAGCATGACTCCAAATGCCAGGCTGACCCTGCAGGATGGGCAGAGGAAAATGTAAAACAAAGCTATAAAGCATTTCTCTCAGGTTTCCTATGTAAAGTATGATGTTCTGTGGTTTATTAATTGGGTGATATTTCAAGGATACTCTACTGAATTGTTTCCTGAAAGCAAAGGATCCAAGTTTGCAGTTGCTGGAGCTGCAGGGCTCTGCCTGGGCAGGAGGGAGCTGTGCAAGTGAAAAGTGCTCAGTTTAAAGGCAGTACACACACTCCTAAGGCAAACCTTATCCTCTGGTGTAATGTCAGTGCAGTCACGTCAGATGAATTGCAGCGCTTGTTTTGGTCCTGAACTCCCGGCTCATCTTTTTTTCCACTGGTTTGTAATTTTACAAGATGAAATCCTGCTGTGTCAGTGCATGATAGACATTCAATCCATTGGTTGTTAAGGACCATTTGCAGTTGGTGATTTGGAGTCAGTTCTGAGCGGGCCGCTGGTGTGCGTGTGCTGTGCTGTTGTTCAGTGTCAGCCCTCCCACTGAATTTTATAAGAGCATCCATTAATTTCAGTAGAAATCTGCATCTGGGGTGAAGGGTGAGCTAATCTTTAGAAAGGGTCTTAACCCACTTACTTAGCTTCTTGCAAAGCTCAGCGTTTTTCCCTCGTCAAGAGCAAGCTGCATTGCTAACCTTGATATGTCACTTTCCAGTTGGTTTAATATTTGGGTGAGGACAAAAAGGAAATGTTTTTCAAAGATGAAAGAGATCCATGCTGGTAAGGTACGTGTGTGTGTGATGTGCTTGTATAAAACAGGAGATGTGAGCGTAATTATAAGTGTTTGGATGGTGGAAAAAAAGGTAAAATGAAAACAGCAGATGATGAAACAGAACAAGAACAGGAAGGGAAAAATCCATCTGAATGTGTAAATGGGATGTTATGACGGAAGAGGAAATGGGGCTGAAATGTTGTTGAATGTCAATTTAAATGTGAGACAAAAATAGAATGCCTGTTAGTTTGACCTGTGAACGTCTTTTCCCAGAGGCCTGAGGGCTGCCAGGAAGAGCAGGGGCACACACACACTGCAGCACACCCGTGAGACCCACTGCCTATGGCTGTCCAAGGCAGGACACCACTCGCCTCCCAGGCTGCAGCATTCAGTCCATCTCAGGTCAGAAAGAGTTGGAAGCACCAGCTTTCCAGTAGCCAGCACCCAGTTTTTGGGGGGTTTCAGCTTGAGTTACAAAACAAAAAAGCACCATAATTAACACTGCCTTGATGTTGTGGCCAGGTGACCATCGTCTGCCCCCAGGGGCTGCAGGTCAATGCAGGAGGCCCAGGAGATGTGTGCATGGCTTGTGGGACCTCGTTGTCAATGGGAAATCAAACTCAATTGATACTATGTGGGGGTGACCTTTATGTGGGATCTTTCTCCTGGCCATTGGACGGCCAAATTACTGTGAGTTTGTAGGCACACGCAGATGTGCCCATATACACATGCCTCAATGCCATTTGCTCACTTCCCTTTAATCAAAGCCTACTGCTATCAGATTTTCCTTTCTCTTTGGTGACTGAAGCACAGCTTCATGTGCCTTTGCATGGGAGCTAAGTGGGTCAGCTGTTTTGTTAATGGCAGCTCTCACGTGGAAAGAGCCTGATGCAGAGCGTAAGGCTTGGCAGGAAAGCACCAATTAAAGGTAGCATATTGTCTGAGCTGAAAGTGCTCAAATCTGGAGCTGTGACAAGTGCCGTGCAAGGGAAAGAATGAGGAATTGCTACATTAGTAGCTGATCCAGGCAAGGTAGTGCTTTCTCTGTTTCAAGTGTTCTGTCAGGGTACAAGCAAGGAGCTTACTCCCTGTTTCAGAGGAGAGGAGTAGAGAAGGTGAGTTGCCCAGGGATGTTGCTAGAACGGATCGACGCCACTTGGAAGCTTGGTCAGCACTTTGCATCAGTCTGTGCTATTTATCTTTGTGCCAGGAGCAGTGCTGCCTTTTCCTTAGCACAGCATGGGTGTGTTCAGGTGAACAGTGCCTGAGGTGTTATTGCCAGGGTTAGGGCAAAGGGAAAGATCCAGAGTTACAAGAATTGGGCAAAGCTGTGCCATCCCTTATCTATGCAAGCAGTGGAGCTGTGACAGCACATAAAAGAAATGTGGCTTTCTGAGTCTGCATGAGTGTATGCTCAACTCTAGGAAAACAACCCAGGGCCAGCCATGCTTTGGCTCCAGTCCTGTGCTCTCATGGGCAGCAAACTATCCTCATGTTACTTGTAAATGAGTGTTTCACCTTGGAGCGCTCAGCCTTCAGATTCCTGTGCAGACATTGTGCAAAAGAGCCCTAAAGGAAAAGGGAGGAGCAAGTTGTTCAGGTACAGTGAGTTGTTTCTACTTTGGATGCCCCATCCCTGGAGATGCTCAAGGCCATGCTGAATGGACTCTGGGCAGCCTGATCTGATGGGTGGCAACCAGCCCATGCAGAAGCTTGGAACTGGGTAGGCTTTAAGGTCCCTTCCAACCCAACCATTCTGTGATTCTATTAAATAAGAGCCCCTCTCCCTCCCAGCTCTTCCTTCTGCTTCCCATTAGTTCTGTTTCACTGATGTGTTTTGTTTGAAAGAGCACTGTTTTAAAATAAAAGCTACTTTATATCCGTATATTCCTTTATATTAAAAAAAACAAAAACTTTTTGACTTTGCCCCTACTTCCAGCATTCTGGGCTCTAAATGCAGAAATCTCTAAGCTTATGTTTCACCTTCCAAATGAACTGTGTGTATATATATATATTTGCACATACCTCCTTAGGACAAAACAGAGCTCTTTTCAGCAAGCAGGAAGTGGTGCATTTTGCAGGTGGTTGAGAAAAATCTGTGCTGCTTTGCTGGGAACAGCATAATCTCAGGAGGTGGATATTGCTACATTTGTGCTGCGCTAATCCTGTCTGTGCAGGAGATCCATGTGTGAGATGCACGAGTAAATGCAGATCTTTCAGAAATGAGAGCATAGTGAAAGCAAGTACCTTTATTTAGGTATATCTGTTACAAGGGTAACACTACCTGCTGGTAAACCACCAGCTAAAGCCTATGTCAAGCACTCGTGTGTGCTTTTCATAGCTCCTGTGGATGAGATACTGCTGTTTCCTTCACTTAAGTCCTTTTTGCACCCCTGGACGAATGCTCAAGGACTGACAGGAAAAGCATGCCCTTATCTATCAATAACTTTGGAGACATCTTTTTGAGATACTGATTTAGATCTGGTTCTGTCAGGAAAATTCAATCTCTTTCCTTTTGGAGTAGCCCGATGTGCTCCCATGATGGGTTTTTGTTCCAATTTGCTGTCAGCAACGGACACGCGGGTCTTACATAGATGATGCTAGAACAAATACAATTGATGCACCGCGGAAGCTGACATTCTGCCAGCCTGAGGGGAGGGCAGGCGGAACTCGGGCACGGTGGGAGCCCTGCAGAGGCCGTGGGTGAGCTCTCAGGGTGAGCTCTCACACGCGCACGGCTCGGGGTCGCTGGGAGCCGCGGGGGCGCGGCACCGATCTGGGAAACGCGGTCTGACGGAGCCGAGCTAGCGCTGCCTGCGCCTCAGCCGCGTACCGAGGCGGCCCTGCGCTCAGCGGGCTGCGCAGACGGGCGTGTGAGCCGCAGTAGCCGAGGAGAAGGAGTCGTTTTTCCTCACAGACGAACACCCGCTCGCCGCTGTCCCCGGCGCGGCAGCGAGTCGCTCGAGCTGCGCGGAGCCCGCGGCCACGGCCAGCCCCGGCGCCGCGCTCTGAGGGCGCAGGGCGGGACCGCGCCCACGGGGAGTCCAGCAGATCGCGCACTGCGCAGGCGCCGTAGCCGCGGCGACCGGGCAGAGCGGCGGGGCACAGCCCCGTGTAACGGCCGCGGGGGCGGGGCGAGCCCCCTCCCGCCGAAACGGCGCCTGCCGCTCCGGAAGTGGATGCGGCGCCGTGGTGGGGTCGTTCCGACTCCGGCCCTCCACGGCCGCCGCTAGAATGCCGGCCTCGCGCATGCGCGCCGCGCGCACTGATCTCACCGCTGCCCCGCCTTGCCATAGAGACCGATGAGAGGCGCGTTCCCCCCAGCCACCGCCTCGCGCTCTGTGGTAGAGACGCGTGAGGGATGGACGCGCGCTCCCCCTTGCGCATGCGCGCTGCCCGTCCGGGAGCCTTCTAGAGGCGCGGGGCGGTGCCGCACCTGCGCCGTGAGATGAGGCTGGCGCATGCGCGCCGGCTCCCATTCTTCCCGTGGCAGCGGGGCGGGCGCAGCCATGCAGCGCAGCGGGCGCCGCCGCCGGCACTGAGCCCGCCCGGCCCCCGCCCCTCCGTACCGCCAGGTAACGGCCGTGAGAGGAGTGCGGTCGCGAGGGGAGCGGGGCGGCGGTTGACGGGGCCGGGCTCCCTCAGGGGCGCGGGGGAGCTTCGCGCGAGGGCAGCGCCGGGGGGCGCGGAGGGCGGGGGGGCGGTCGGGGCTTCTTCCGCCCCTTTTGTGTGCGCGGCGCTTTATTGAACCGAACCTTCGGAACGTGGGCTCGGGGCCGGGGATCGGCACGAAGAGCCCCGCCGTCGTTAGGCGCATCCCGCGCGGGCGGTCGGAGATGCGGGCTCTGGGCAGGGTCACTCGCGGCTGTTCGTCGCTGCGCGCGGCCCCGCGCCGCCTGCGCGAGGCGCTGTCCGCGCGCCCCCGGCAGCGCCAGGGGAGGGAAAGGAAGGGAAGGGCCGCGCCGCTCCGCGGGCGCCGGGCGGGAGCTGAAGGCCCCGCGCTGTATGCGGCGCTCCCCGGCAGCGCCCCGGCACGGCGGGCTGCGCGTCGCTCGGAGCGCTTTGGTGAAGAAGAGAACCCGTAAGAGAAGCGCGTGCCAAGCTGGAGCCGGTAGGGCAGAGGCGCAGTCTCCGCCCCGGTGGTGTGCCAGCGTCTCGTGCAGATGTGCTGGAGTCCATTTTGTTATCGGAGCCTAATAGTCCGTAACGTTTTTCTACCTCTTTTGATGAGTTGTCTCTGTCGTTTGCCTCTGTTGGCGGCGTCCGGTGGGCGCTGGTGTTAGAGGAAGCCGAATGTCGTTGCTTGATGCTCCATAGTACAAGCCCGCCGTTCAAACAGTCGTTCCCAAAGGCATCAGAAGCACAGCTGTTTATACAGGGTCCTGACCTGGGTTTAATGAGGGTTTGCTGGAAAGATCTGGGATGGATGGGTTTGGGAACTTCCAAAAGTGGAGTTTTTGATAGAGTCAAGGAGTGAACCACGAGCAGGGTGGAACCACAGCACTGCAACGTTCAGGGTATTCCTTATTGCAGCAGCATTGCTGTATGGGATGAGCCTTTGTGCTGCAGCGCTGGGCTTGGCCCAGTCCAGCTCTTGCCTCTTTTCACCGTGGAATCCCATCGGTTAGTGGGATGAAAGTCTGGAAGTTACCAGAGGGACCGGGTAATGACTGTGTCACTGTGAGCCTCTATTTCATAGTCGTGCTTTTTATTCTTTAAATGACTGCCAGCACAAATGGGATCTCTTTTCTACAGGGATGTGTGCAGCATTCCTGTGAAATGCTTGCGATTGATTAGACAGGTTCAAAAATGTCTGTGTTCCAAGAAGAACACTCAGTCCTTGCCTCACTTGGCTGGCATCATAGGGTGCTGAAAGTGAGACAACAGTGTGCTTGTGGGCCAGGAGGGGTTTCTCTATTCGTTTAACATTCCCTGGAGGGACACTTGCAGAGAATGTATGTGAACAAGTGAGCTGGTCCTCAACACTTCATCTGTGAAGTCCTGTTAGAACCTTAAATTTGAGCTATAGCTGTAGTTGTTAGGATTGAAGATACTTAAAGAACAAAATGGAAATGTTGTATTCCTTTTTCCACAAGTTCCTTAGTTCTGGGGCTGCAGGTTGTCAGAGGGTGGGTGGTGACAGCAGGTCCAGGTGCTGTGGTGAGTTACAAACTGGGGTAAATCTTGTCCTTCACAACCTTTTGAGTTAGTTTGTCATGCTGTACTGCAATAGAAAGTGTGAAACAGGCTGGGCATAAAAATATTCTGATGGATGCAGTAAGGGCATCCACACATCTCCCCACTCCATTGTACAGGCAGATGGCAGAGCAATGTGGCTTTGAAGAGAGCTGCCATTTGGGTGCCTGTCTGGCCTCAGGTTACTTGGTTCAGGCACATGTGTCACTCCGAGCCTCTCATCATCATGGCTGGGCCATGGCTGGGGCTTGCAGTCTTCATAGAATCATAGAATAGTCTGGGAAGATGAGGACCATAGTGATCATCTAGTTTCAACCCCCTTGCTATGTGCAGGGTCACCGACCTGCCTGGAACCACATCCAGCCTGGCCTTGAATGCCTGCAGGGATGGGGCATCCATAGCCTCATCTGCGCCGAATTGAAGCTCCCTCCTGGATCCTGAAGGGGCCAGGGCACCTTCCAGCAGCTCTTGTCGGTGTGTTAAAAATGCTGACAAGTATCAAAAAATTGTGCAGCTGAATTAGTAGATGAAACCAATTTGTTTATTGATTTCTTCAAACTCTACTAAATTGTAAACAAAGTCTGCATGTGAGGAAAGGAGTTCATTTCTTCTTTGATGAATGGTTACTGATTGTGGCAGCCTCATGCAGAACAGCCTCAGCTTTAGCCCTAACGCTGCTTTTCATTCTCATTGGCCTATGCAGAAGTTTAGAGCATGTTTCTTTATAGCTCTTTCAGTGTTTTGGGTATTGTCTGTTGGGCCAACCTGTTATCAGTCTTTAAAGCTGTCTGAACCACTGAAGTGAGCTAATGAAGAGTTTTTGCACAGCTGGATATCTAAAAACTCAACGAGTTCCGTGGCATTTTGAGCTGTTAAATACCTGGCTCTGTCGTAGACATGTTAAAAAGGCATCATCATCAGTGGCCTATTGGAAGTCAGATCTTACAGCGTCTGACCTGCCTGCCCTGCCAGCAGACTGATAAACAGCAGCATTTGTGTTTCACGTCTGGGCTGGGATTTTCTCTCAGCTCTGCCTGCAGGTGCTTTCCATTCCAGGAGCTTTCAGAAATCTGCATTGAACCAACGGTGGTTTGCTGAAGCAGGGATCTGGTCCAGCTGGAGTTTGGTTCTGACCTGTATTTCAGGGTGATGCTAAGCAGCAGGGAGGGTTCACAGGTGCGCCTGTTCCTCTGCAGGTGGCTTCTTATAGCAGCAGTCACTGAGCTGCCTCTGGAGCCCGGGACAAAAATAAACCTTGCAAAGTGACTAACTTAGGATCTGCTGGTGCCCCATTCCACAGTGCTGAAGGCTCTCTCTAGGCCTGCTGGAGTGAATGTCTCGCTCAGTTTGAAGTGTGTGTGTGTGTGTGTTCAGAGTACCAGTGCCTTGGAATGATGGTTTTCACAAGCAGGCACTTGAGCACTGGGGCTTCCCTCTCTGTTACTTGCTGCCAGGGTGATTCTGGCTTGGGCTGGCACACAAAAGCCTACCTCTGTGTTCTGTGCCTCCAACCAGTTATGTATTGCTGGGGATAACAGGCTCCTGGAGGATTTGTGGAATATGGCATTTCTACCACAACCCCACTGATCTCTTAGAACTAGATTATCCGGATCTTGTACCCAGCATGTGGTAGTGTGGGGTTTTATTTCCCCATGGTGCTATCTGGCCCTCGGTTCCTACTTCTGCTGCAGACTTTTTTCCCAGTGACTCTGGGAAAGGCAGTGAATTTCTGCCCCATTCCTGCCTGCAAAATAGGCTCTTGGTATTCTCCCACCTTTTCTCTCATTTACATTAAGAAATGCTTTTCATCTCCAAGATCATGTAAATTAGTGGTCTGAGCCTATGAGACTTCATTTATTGCAGTGCAGATAGGGACTGCAGGAGTCAGATGTGTTCTGGAAGTCCCTGCTCCTGTGTGAGTGCTCCTGGTGAGCAGGGAATGAATGGGACGCCACTCATTTTTAGTGATGTTTTACTTTCAAACCTTGCACAGCTGCTAAGCTTCACAGTCCAGCAAGGCTTCAGGTGAAAGTGTTCTCTTCTTCCCAGATTTCTCCAACAGATCCCATTGCTGCTGGAGGACGGAGAGAGGTTTAGAGCCTGGTGCTGGGAAACTGCCCTGCACTTGATTGTGGTAGGAAGGGAGCCAGACACCTCCATTTTAAAGTACTGTAACTGTATGGCTGGATATCGTCCAGAGTCAGTGCTAATTTTGAAGAGGGGAAACTAGGGGAGATCTGTATTAGGAAAACAAAGGCTGTTGGAACTCGTGTGTTTTCCTGCCGTGCTCTGGAGGAGTGGCTCCTGCTCAGTGCAGTGGTTTCCGTAGTGCCAGGCACTGGGAGCACACTGAGGTTGTAAGCCTGCAGGTAGTCTGGGCTTGCTGCAGAGATGTTTTTGGAGATTGATGAGGCCTTGCTGAAATCAGCACCTTTGTGAGCTGTCCCATTGCTGAGGCAGCAGTGCAAACGTTTATGGAGGCACGAAAGAGGGCCTGCTGTCTAAAAGCTTATCTTACGCAGGGCAGTGTAATGCAACTTTCACAGCTAGCATCTGTCCTGGAAGAATTGCAGGGGGACTGCAGGGTCTTAGCTTAAGCCCTGGAAATCTTTCAGACTTCATTCTGGAAATCTGCCTTGATTTTGCTTGTGGCAGTGAATTTGTGTGCTGGTGTGGGTTGGTTACTGTCTTTTCTTCAAAGACAAAGCCCCTTCATACACTCCAAGCAAGCCTGAAGAACAGCTGGTACATAGCAGGGTCCCAGCAGCCTTCAGCCAGAGGTGGTTCTGCAGGTGAGCCCAGCAGCAGGGCTGCAGAGGAGTTGCCTTAGTGCAGCTGGTGCTGTTTGGGTCCAGGGCACCTGGCAGGCACTGCAGCAAGGGGAGAGGAGCTGCCCCTTCGGCTGGTGACCAGCTCCTCCTTAGAGGAGCAAGAGTTGTTAGGCTGGAATTCTGAGGATCACTGGATTAGGGGGAGGTTTAAGTACAAGGCAGCACTAATTACTGATTTAAAGCAGTCAGTGATTGTGAAATACCCCCGGGCACCAAATAAACATTATCTGCTACATATGGAGGCAGGTGAAGAGAAGGGAGAGCCCCTCCATGCCAAGTGCTGGGTGGGCGTCTCCTGCAAACTGCTGCTTTTTGCATATCTAGGGAGGAGCAGGTCCACTTGGGTGCTTAATGAGTGTCCTGCTTTGTGAGGGCTGATATCAAAGCCCCCTGGGCAGCATGTGGAGAGGACCATAAGGAGAAAGAGGAGATGGAAGGCTGAAGAGGACCTCCCTTCCTGCAGAGCCTGGGTTTTGAGCTGCCATGCTGATGGGCCCTGTCTGGGCTTTGCAGGGCATGGTTTCCAGGTGCCTCTGCATGCAACATGCCCAGGGCTCTGGCTGCTGAGACCAGGCACAGCCCTCCTGCAGTGCTCAGCTGCTGAAGCTGATAAAAGCTACCTGAAGAGTTGCTGCATTTGACTGGGGTGGAGATTGGGAGGAGTTGCTCTTTGTTGTGGAAAGTCAAGGTTCAAGACTGTCTGTCTCGTACCTTGAACCAAATTTAAGCTGAATCTTGCATGCAGTTATGTCCCGAGACCTGTGAAGGAGCTTGGTTGGCACTCCTGTGTTGCTGTGTTACTCATACAGCTGCTCTGCTACACCCCACCACGTACAAAACATTGCAGCAGAAAGGGCTGTCTGGTTTGGGAGTTGCTGAGAAGACCAGCTTACAGCTGGAAGCAGGCAGGGGAACCTTCAGGAAGGGCTGGGAAGACCTGTGAGGACAAGGGAGCGTTGCTGGCTGTGAGCTCCTGGGTAGCTGTGTTGGGGGCTCAGTGGGAGCTTGTGACCTGCGCTGGTGTCAGTGTGTGAAGGTGCCCATATAATTGGAAGGTGCCAGCTCAGCATGGTGGTAAGAGCAGGGGAGTTGGTCTGGAGTGAGTGGGATTCTGCTATGCACTGGAAAGACTTTGGCTTATGCGATGGCATGAAAGTGGGTGCATCTTGGGTAACGAGTATTTCCTTTTTACTCTTTGAATTGACTTATTCCAATTGCTTTGCTGTGAGTTGTGGCAGCTTTGGTGAAGTTATGGTGATAGCCTGAAGTTACTTAGCTTTGATACTACTGTTCAGGCTGTCAGCTTTCTCCTTTAACTGAGGAGAGCTCCAAGCTGGCATTACACTTAAGCCTCTCTAATGGCTTTCTGCTGGATAGCTCTTGATGGAAAATGTAGGTGTTGCTGGCAGGGGCTTTGGTTAAGCGCATAGTTTTCATGGCTTGGTAGTGAAAGAAGGAGCTGTATTTTTGCAGTGGCAGAGCTGGGGTGGTTGGGATATTCTCCCTTCCCACCTCTCATTATTTAACCTCCATACTGACATTGTCAGTCTTGTTAGAAGCTGCAAGCATAGCTGGAGGACTGTGCTCCAGAGCCTGCGTTCACAGCTCTTCTGAAACATCCATGCACGTGATCTGTGCCACTGAGTTGTTGGTTTCCAAGCCTGTGTGACCCTGCTTCAGGGGAAGAGGTGGTACTTCAAATGTTAGTCTGAAACGGTTGTGTCCTGTAACAATGGCTGCCCACAACCAGTGGTGATGAGATTCTGCAGGAAAAGAAGTGGCCTCCTGGGGCTGAGATTGTGAGTTTGTGTTTCCCAGAGTTTGTTATGTGTGGAGTATCTGCCAGATCAATTTCAGGTGTGTTGAGATGCAGCTGCCGCATTCTCTGCTGCCTGGGAAGTTCATATTTTGGAGTTTGGGTCTTGATTTTCTCATGAGGTACTTTTTGCTCTTGTGAGGAAAGGGGTGTAATTAGCAGGCTTCCTCATGTATAGAAAAGCTTTTTTTTAAAGGTGCAAATTGAACACCTGTTGGCTTGTAGATGCTAGGCAGCCACCAGCCTTTCCTTTTGGCTTACTGCTCAGCTTTGCCTCAGGGTTTAAAGGTGTCTGTGGCTCTTTTCTCCTGCATGTGATGAGGCGGTGCCATTGTGTGCAGTGGGTCTTCTGTAGTGTACAGCCCTTGAGTCCATAGCATCCATCTGTTCTTCTGTAATGCACTGTAATCTTGGTCCCATGTTTTCCTTCAAATGTCTTAAAAAAAAATTAGGAGCTCTTATTGAAATTTGCTTAAATTAGTTCACTTAAGAGATTGCTCTCTGCTTGTAGGCACAGACTTACATACTCTTAAATGAAAACCACATAGAAGAAAGGCTTGAAAGTTTGGCTGTTTCTTTCTCACGGCCCTGTGGGCACCTAATGGCTTGTTGGATGTGCTGGGACTTGTTGGTGTGAAGTTAATCAGAGATGGCTATTCTGTGGTAAGTCAGTCATTCACACCCTCCTGGATTCTGAATTAATTTTCAGGTGTAAGCAGGTTCCATGTTAAGAGCAGTTAGGGGGCTTTCCTCGCCACACCGACCTAATTTTAACAGAGGTCTCCTGTTGAAAGTGGGCAGCTCGTGGAATCCAGAAGCAGGTCACACAGCTGGCTTGGGATGTTTCAGACAGGCAGTGCGGGATGTGAAGGACCCTCTGGTGTAAGGAGTGCCTTGAGCAAGGAGCAGCAGGGCCAGCCCATGCTGAAGGGCAGGGATGGGCCGGTATTCAGAGGCACAGATGAGGAGACTCAGTGGAAGACTTCTGTGCTTTTGTGATTGAAGTGGCCCAGTTCTTCCCCTGTGCCATTTTGGGGAGTGGTTTTTCTTTTAATTTTTTGTCAAGATCAGTTTAAAACTATCACTTCTTGTTTGCAGTTGGCTGCCAGAAATTTGTTGCGTTCTGTAAGGATGGGAGAGATCAGAGTATTTCAGTTGGTGCTGAGCTGACACAATGGACAAACTGCAGCTCCAGTAGTAAGGAGAGGTATGGCTTTCTGCTAGTTTGGAACCAGGGTCTCATTTAGAAAGGAAAAAATAAGGGTTGCTTTGACTTTGAGTGCTGATTGAGCCATTGTTGACAATTTCAGAACTGGAGGTCGAGGTCTTAGCTATGGTCTGACAGAGAAGCTAGTAATAGAAGACATGATTGTATTTCCTACTTAATAGGTAGATAAATAGGTTTTATGAAACAATAAGACTTTGATATGCTCTCTGGACAGCTCAGGAGCAAGCAGAAAGTTGTATTCTGGTCGTTTCCCATGGCACTGACAAAGCCCCAGGTGCTGTGCAGACGCAGCTGATGCTTCCTTGCTGCTCCAGAGGGTCAGGTTTTGCTGGTGAGAAGGGATTTCAGTCTAAGGGCATGAAGCAACCCTTCTGGTTGATGGCAGGGCTTGCCAGGCAGTTGGCTCAGGTATGTCCCTGGCTGTACAGAACCAGTTTGGATCACTGTCAGCCAGTGGGGATTTGAGCTGCAGGGCTGGGCAGGGGGAATCCGTACTCTCGGGGCTCTTCCTGCCTGGTGAGTAGTGGTGCAGCTGGTGTGGGCAGCCACAGTAGAGCTGCAGGCTCTAGATCCCAAACTCGGTTGTTGCCTCTGGAGCTGTGAGTGGCATTTGTGGGATGCAGCAGTGTGCAAATGTGGCTGGGGAGGATGGAGGTGAGATAATGATCTGATACAGCGTGCTGTACAATTGTGCTTTTACTTCCAGACAAGGGATTCTGTGAGCATCTCATCTGCTTTCAGACCTGCTTTGCTTTTTATTAGCTTCAGCGAAGGCCTTGTTTGCTCAAATGGAAGGTATTTGGAATTGCAGCCCCAGTGCTTCCAATTAGTGAACGTGTGCCTCCTGCTTCCCTCCAGTAGTGTATTGAACCAGGTGTCTGCTTCACAGCCTCTTGCCTCATACTGAGCTTGGCTTGCTTTCCTTGTTGTGGTACAGAAAGCAGAGCAGACGTCAAGCTCTGGCTATTATTAGGCTGGAAACAAAAAGGTATACAGGGTTTTTATCCTCTTCTAACTAAAAGTGCTAACTTGGAAGAGGAAGTGCTTCATAAGCAGCATGGATGCAATGGGAACCGTGGGCTGGTGGAGGACAGCTGGGAGGTCTGTGCCTGGATGGGATGGTTTGGCTGCAGGTTGGGAAAAACCCTAAAGAAAAAAAGCTTATAATGCAGTCTATGGAGAAGAGAACTTCAGATGTTGGGGAGCATAGCCAAATTGAGATGTGCAACTACTTTCTTTTTAAAAAAGATGCTGTGCCTGTGAATGGCAGCAAAATTTGTCCTGGCCTTTCTTCTCCGTGGCTGTGGTTCTCAGGAAGCCACAGGCCCTGCTGGCTAAGTCCTGCTTATGCTATTGCAGCAGACTGCTTTTTCCTAGGTCTGTGCTTTGGTGCCTCAGGATTCAGCCTGGAAGAAGCTTGAGCATCGGGTATTTGAAAACTGCTTGCTTTAGGTTCCTGGAGCCCAGCATTAGGGCTGAATCCTGCAGGCAGCTGGTGGCACTGACTGCTGGTGGCCTGTGGTACAAACAGGATCCAGATGCCTTCCTGCTTTCACTCCTTAAAACAGATGTGTTTTCCCGATGGCCTGCATAAGGGTTTTGTCTCTTCTTTTGTGGATGAATGGTGGTGGTGGTATTTGGAAGAATATTATTAATTCTTACTTAAGGCCCAGGTTTGCTGACTGTCACTAAAGCTGCTGCTGGGGATCTGCTAGCTAACTGTTGTGGTGAAGAATAACCAGAGGTTTTTGTCTTGACCTACCTTGTCTGATTCCTTAAAATAGAACAATGCTCATATCCAGCTTATCACAGCTTTGCAGCTGTATGTGAATAACCCATTTTGTGACATGCTTTCAATCTTTTTTTTTCCCTCTGTACTTAATTTAACCTATAATACTGTTCTTTTTCTTTCAGAATGGACTGCTGAATTGAGAATTATTGCAGACCCAACAGTACAGCACTGCTCATTGCTTCATCTATCACTAGTTATTTAAATTGGACTTTTAATATCCTGCCAGCTGCTGTTCACACACACATGCTGCATTGTTGCCATTCTCAGAATTGCATCTTTGAAACCCAGGCCCTCAGTAACCTTCACTGAACAAAGAAGTGACCTCCTGCGTACATTCATAGAGGGGTTTTTTGGACTGTCTGCCCTCTAGCTTTTTTGTTAGTGCTGTGTTTCTGAGACACTATGGAGCCCAGTATGGAGTACTGCTTAGCGCAGGTGCTGCAGAAGGATGTTGGGAAGAGACTTCAGGTTGGTCAGGAATTGATAGATTACTTCTCAGATAAACAGAAGTCAGCTGATCTGGAACATGATCAGACGATGCTGGATAAAATGGTTGATGGACTGGCCACCTCTTGGGTGAATTCCAGCAATTATAAGGTAAGACTTGTCAAATTACAATGAAGATTTTAGTTGTAATTGAATTCCAAGTGGTGCTTGATCCATGTGGAAGTTGTGTACTTCTTAATATGCTGTTCTGTACTTAATATGCTGTTCTGAAAGCTGATCACTGCACTGAGTCAACCATCCTGGTCCCATTTCTGGGGAGCTGATTGCTGATATGATATTAAGGATTCATGGCAGTTACACTTCAGCAAACCAGATTTATTTTGGGTGTTTGTACTCTGTGATATCCTGATTTCTTTGTATATCTTGTTTGTCTGTGGGATGCTTTGATCATCCCATTAATTGACAGTGTGGATGATTTCTTGCCAAATAAAAATGTCGAAAAGCAAGTGTGTGTGTGTGTGTATCTACATATATATACACCTGGTTTTTATATATATATATATATACACACACATATATACAGCCTTTGTTTTTTTTTTTTTGCTTTTTCATACTGTCCTTAATGCTTGCTAAATGTTTTTTGGAGATAATTTAAGTACTCCTGGATCTACTGCAGTTAGCTCAGGAAAGGTAATGAGCGTGTTCTCTTGAATTGAACAACCTTGCATCCACAGTAGTGGGTGAGCAGTGGGATTTAGAACTCAGCTGCCTTGTTATCCCTGTCATGCTGCTTCTGATCCCTTGTCTGCAGTTTCCTCACTGAGGAGGGGTTTGCAGCTGTGCTTTGGAAAAGTTGTGTCCTGGTCATTTCCCAGGCATGCTGACAAGGCTGGTAGGATATTTAGGCTGTTGTTACAGGGAAGAGGTTTTGGTATTTTCTGGTAAGTCCAGAAAAATCTGGGAGTAAAACCTCCTACAGACTTGATGGTGAAGCTCATTAACAAGAGTTATACTGGAGCTCTTGCACATAGAAGTGAGGGAAAGACTGACTGTGTGGGTTGTGAGTGCTTTGGAGCAGAACATCCTCAGATTCATTTAAGCTTTTTAATAGAAATTTTGATTGAAAGGTAGCTGTGAGGATGATGCATCTTGGCCAACTTGTTCTGTGGGGCTGCATGTCTGCTTTTCTTGTTTGTCAACAAATTACTGTGTTCAAAGCTGTTTGGTATACAGAACCCAAAAACCCAAAGCCAGTGGATCCATTCTGGCTGAGCACGCGAAGAAATCTGCTGTCATTAACAAAAGTTGTCTGTGCAATTTCCTGAGAGCTTTCATTCCCCTTTTTCTCGCTACCTGCCTTTCTTTCCATGTTTCTTGGTGGAAACTGCTCTTGCCAACACAAACAGAGTAAACTTGACATTGTGTAATGTGCCATTTGCTTAGACTTTATGAACTGATGTGAACTGCAGAACTGTGCAGTACTTTGCACTTTTGGCGTCACACTTAGATTGTGTTTTTTCTTTTCTCAGTTGAACTACAGCCCACCATGTCCATGGCAGTGTTCATTATCCAGGAGCAAAACAGTGGTACTTCTGTACTGGAGTGATTCCACTCATGTTCTATAGGTGGCATTTGGTTTCATTCACTAAGTTTTAGTAAGCATAACATGGACTTCTCTCAAGTTTCTGGAGACTGTTTTCTCAGTAAATGGATGTAATCGAGTATGTGAAGCTTTTAAGTGGGACAAGCAGACTACCTGGAGTTAAGTGATACTTTTTTAATATCCAGCTGATGTTTCATCTCAATGTGCCAATCCCTTTTTTGTTTTAGTGCCTGTATTTATATTCCTGGTAACTTTCCTCCAGGCTGCTGTGAAATGTGACATCTCTGGCACAGTTCAGCTCAGTTTGCACTAAAGGGAGCTTCAGCTGCTGCTGTGCCTTTACAGGGGGGCTCGAGTTGTCTTTGTCATTGGTTTGAGCTGTGTAAATCATGACCATCGCTGACAGTTTGAGACGTTGGTGTTTTTGTAGGCTGTTTTTATTTAACCTGACAGTATTTTGTGAAGCATTAGACAGGAGACAATACCATCTTCTCTTTCACTTGAGAATAACTAAAGCCTGCACTGAGGCATGTGCTGTGGGACTTGTGGTGATACTAGGGGCTTTGGTGTATTGTCTTATCTTCCCAACTCTATAGCAAGGGGAGGATGCTGAAATCAGCAGAAGTCATTGATAGACCACCTTACTTTGAGCTGCTTGCAGCAGCGTATACTCTTGTATACTCTTGTCAAGTAGGTACAGGATCTCCTGATAAATGCATTTGTGGCCAGTGTGACTTCCTCTGTGTCCAGACTGATGAACCAGTGATGTTTTGTGGTGGGATGCAGAGGAATGCATCTAGGATCTTAAAGTGGTGTTTGTGCTTCTGGAAGTGGGCTGAGGGTGTTTGGCAGTAAAAAAAATGGCAGGAGAGGGTAGTTTGAAGTGAAAATAGGTAAAGAACTTTATGAGATTTGTTGCTTTTTATTCTAATCAAGTAATCATCATTTTGGTGCTGCTGTACTCAGTGCACTTGCCAGGGGGAGGATCCTCTTACCCTTGCATAGGACAATCCCTTTGCTCCAGATCAGCTTGGTCTGAGTCATGCTCTGTACCCAGCAGGTTGGCCTGTAAGAGACATGAGGAGCTGGCTATGGTCACAGAGCCTGGGCGGTGGCTGAAGGTGTTTTCTCTCAGAGGTCTCCCAGGTGAACCCGGCGCATAGACAAGTCTGTCAGGATATGAGCTGTGCCCTGCTCTGGCTGTGTGTGGGACTCCTGATTTGATCCCTCTGCCTCCTGAAGGTTTTCGTTACTTACAGAGATAACAAGATGAAGCACGTGGTGAAGTATTGCAGGGAAACTTATTTCCCCTGACAGAACTCATAATCATGTTAGAGAAGGCAGCCTTCCTTTCTCATCTGTGTCTGCATATCAGATGTTACAAGAGCGTGCTTCGCCGAGCTGAGGAGAAGGAAAACTTACATAAATTAGCTGGCTTTCTTAAACTCTGTATTGAGTAATGTTTTTGGCTTCTCTAATTGAGGGGTAGAACAGATGGTGCAGGCTTAGTTTAAAGTGGCATCCATTAGAGTTACTTAAGCTGATGAATGGTTGTTCACTGTAGGCATACATTTGTTCTCTATACCATGTTTATTTTAGAAGAAATTCAGTGGAAAAAGTCCTGATTGAAGGAAGCAATTCTCAAGCGTGGTTATGGACTAAGGTGGTAATTTGGTAGGTGGGCTTTGTTGAATACTTAATGCACAGAGAAAGGAGTCTTTGGCATCTGGGGAAGAAGGAAAGAGTTAAAGGGTTTCCAAACAGCTGTTAGCTGGTGAGTTTGGGGATGCTGAGGGGTATGTGAACATCAGTGAGAGCTGCATTTATTTAATGGTTTCTCTCCAGAAAACCTCTTTACTGTGGAGAGGTAACTCCTAATAGGAAGGAAGATGAACTAGAATTATTCTGACGTACAACAGACGTGAGAAAATGGGCCACCAAGAGTGGTTTTGAGATCTGTACCTGAATGTATGCATTCATATTGCAGAAATGAAGTCTGACTCCAACTCTTGTGTGGGGAGAAAAGCTATCTTAGCAAGGGCTAAAAAAAAATCAATGGGCTTCACCTGTATTTGCAGAATATGGCCCTGATTTTAAGATGCTGGTGTTGGCAAGCTGCTAATAGGTGGGTTATCCTGCCTGAAACCTAGGAAAGAGCAGAGGCTTGGCTCCAGGATATCCATTTTCCTGTAGGCATTGAAGTTATTTCCCTGCAGCTCCCAGGCCAGCTGAAGGGCTGTTTTTCCTCTGTGTATGTGCAGTATCTGTGGCTGCTTTTTTAACCCTCACTGCTCTGTGTGGCAGCTGTAGCAAATCAGCACTGAGAACTTTCCTATGGATTCATCATCCCCTCTTCCTAGGTAGCAGTGGCTCTGGATTGTCCTCTAGCACCTGGAATGGCAGGAACTGGACAGTGGGGTGGTAATGTTTTTCTGACTGGTTTATGTGGTGTGTTTGTGCTCCTGTAAAGCAAGAACAGATAAGCCTGTGATCCCAAGTGGTGCAGACAAGAGGATCTTTCAGTTACTCACCAACATGTTATGAAATGGAATATAAATAGTGAGAAGCCACAGAAATCCCTAGGGAGCGTGAAGAGCCCCCATGTTGAAATAAATAGAGGAATTTGTTCTTGTAATGGCACAAATTTGGGTAGGGTCAGTCCAAAGGTCTGTGTTGTTTCCTGTCTCTTCTCTCTGGGGCTCACTCTGGGTGGTCATTGAGTGCTCTCACTTGTAAATCCATCTGGCTTGTGGATGTGAGCCCCCTCTTCTGGTTTCTGCTGCAGTCCCTTTTCACTTTGGGTGTTAGTGCTGGGATGTGCACTGCAGCAGCTGCCATTCAGGCTGTGTGCTGACCTGCCCTTAGCTTTGGGGTGCTGGGTTGTGAGGGCAGACAGAGCCAGCCCTCCCGGGGTCTCGCCACCATCACTGTTACTAAATTGAGAGGACAAAGCTATTCCTTTAATGCTAGTGTAGTGTGTCAGCTGCAGTGCTGTGGTGCTTGTCACTGGGGCTTTTTCAGAGGTCTGGCATGATTTGCTGTCCCCTGGGAAGCCAGGGGGTATATTAGCTGGCTGCAGCCTGAGGGTCACAGCTGATGCCTGTGTGGAAAAGGCAGATTATTGGGGATTTAGTCCCTTGGTGATAAGGGTGCACTAATGCTATTGTGCTGGGTCTTATTGGGCCCTGTTGTGGAATGTGCTGTGCGGTGCTGGCTGTGTGCTCGGGGGAGGAATCTGGGCCGGAACAGGTGCAGGGAAGGGCCAGTGCAGTGCTCAGGGGGCTGCAGAGCATGGCTGGCCTGAGGAGGCTGAGGGCTTGCTTAGCTTGTGGAGTGAAGGCTGAGAGGGAGTGTGATGGCTGTCTATAAATACACATCAGAGGGGTGGACGTGGGGTGGGGGCGAACGGTTGGAGCTAAAGGGCAAGGTCAGCACAAGAACAGATGGGTATGGACGGGCCAGAGTAAATTTAGGCTGGATGTGAGATGAGGGACTGGAAAACTCTTAAAGAGGAATGGGTGAGAGTAAGACATGTATTTGGTTTTAG